TATACTCACAAGAAAACGTAGTACGAAGGTGGAGAGGTATCACAAAAGTTATTTCTAACTAACAGAATTAAAGAAGAGAGAGATGGGAAGATAGGTAGGTTGTAAGGGGGAGAGAGGGAGGTATAGAGAGAAAAAAATGGCAAGCTTGAGAGGAGAAGGTGGAGGGGGGGTGGGAGGGAGAAAAGATGGTTGGCAGTTTTCAAGGCGGACAGCGGGCACCTTATGCTTGCGGCGGCGGGACACAGAAATTTGGCTCGATTCTATTCTATGGAGTTCTACAGTGGTCTGCAGCGGACCAGCGGTCTTTCCAGTAGTCTCTGGGCGCTCTTTGATTTCCCCAGGATCTTCCAGTCTGTTCCACACATTGTCACACTTCAGATTGTGTTCCTGAATGACCGATCTAGACGGTTCGATTCTCTTCTTGTGTTTGGTGTCAATGTACTCAGTACATGAATGTATGTAGTAATTGTACATACTCATCTGTGTGTTTACTCCTACGTACAGTACTTGCCATGTTGCTGGCTACAGTACGTGCAGCCGAATGATGACTCAGATGGTTGCCTGAGAGCTGAGGCGGTCAATCTAGAACGTTCCGCTCCTCTCCACCGTGGACCATCCAGTCTGTGTTCTGGTGTTCTGTTCTCTGTTTTCCACCCCTATGACTATGAGTAAACTAACTAGTACTACTCTATAGTAGTCAATCACCCGTCTTGTCCCAACATACATACTGGCTAGTACGTGAGTCTAGTTACTCATACCTAGTCGCCTCTTTCGCTCCTTCATGTTGAGATTAGTCAATGAGCCTTTTTGCCTTGCCCGCCGCGCCACCGCCGCCGCCGCCTTTTTGCCTCTTGTTCACTAGACCCTTTTCGTGAATAATTCAAGGTCATTGTTTGGAATCATCCATGGCTAATTCCTAGGTCTTTCTTTTCCTTCAATTGGCCATGGGAACATACCAAAACTGATGTTATGTAACTGCACTTCCATGTCCTGACCACCATGATTCTGTGCACCACCTGTGGCACGGCATTGTCGTAGAGCAAACCCTTTCAAATCCAAGAACCGGGTCTCACCCATGGTTCACTCTAAAAAAGCTTACCCGTCCTACTTCAAGCCACGGCACTCACCATAGCAATTACCTACAACTCATTGTCGGCAAGGGAGGAGACACATTTCGGGACACCGTCTAGGGCAAGAAGATGAAAACGTAGACCATATCATGACGGGCAATAAGCTCGCTATGCTGGAGAGGTAGGACACATTCACAAAGGTCATGACAACACAATAAATCAGTAAAAAACCAGAGTCACATAATGACGACCAAGAACTGCCCAGTTAGGAAATGATAAGACAACTTTTCCAACCGCTAATATGCATCGTGCCAGAGCAGGGCCACATAACACATGTCATTATTCAGTAAATGGGAAAGGAGGAGGGGGGGAAGTAATACATGTCCTGGATCGCCGTGAGCATCTAAAAACATAGAATGGTCTGAAACCAGGATGGAAGGGCTAGAAAAAAATCATTGATGACCAGATGAAGAGATTGAAGAGATACAGGAGAGAAGGGGAAAGCCATGGACAGTTTTGACCTCACTGAAAAACTTTCCGTCATTCCTCAGGCAAGAAACCTGGATTCGTGGAGGTAGTTGAGACTTTGAAGAAGTGGTATTTTTTTTGCTTTTCTTTTTCTGTTTTTTTGGTTTCTTTGTTCGTCAGGACGTAGCTGCAGCTTCAAGCAGTCTGGGTTTGGTTGCGACCCTTGGCATTGACATTGCCGCCACGGCCACGAGGAGCAAAGCCTCCGCGACCATCACGCTGGAAGCCGCCGCGACCCTGGCTGCCGACACGGTCTCCACGACCACGTCCAGCGCCACCGCGACCAGCGTAGCTACCGTTACCACCATAGGCATTAGTGCGAGCACGGCGCTCCTCAACGTAAATCTGCTCGGTTCCGATCTGGTGGGGGTTGGCAGCAACAGCGGCGTTGTAGGCGGCCGCATCGCCGAATTCAACAAAGGCGCAGTTCTACATAGAGGACAGAGCAGGTTAGCGTCGATAATCACAGGAAAATATAGGACTGGTCGGGGGTAGATGCATACCTTTTGGCGGCTCACATCGAAGTGCTTGAGCTTGCCAAAGCGAGAAAGAGTCTGCTTGAGCAAGCTGGCATCGACCTTCTCAGTGACGTTCTTGATGTAAGCGAGAACATTCTGCTCATCGGCCGCGCGAGACTGGGACTTCTTGTGGTCGTGACCAGCGGTTTGCCAACCGGCTCCATCGTTAGAGGAGGGCTGGCTGGGAGTGGACTCGGCAGCGGGAATCGGAGCCGGAGCTGGGGCGGGAGCTGGGGCCGCGGCTTGGGACGAGCTGGCAGAAGCAACTGCAGGAGCAGGGGCAGGGGCAGCCGCAGGCTTCACTGGAGCGACAGGAATGGCGGGAACCACGGGCACAGCGGCGCCGGACTTGGAGGCGATGTTGGCCCAAGTCTTGGGAAGAGCCTTGGCCGCGGGTGCGCTCTCCTTAGCGGGGGCAGGGGCCTCCTTCGGCTCAGGAGCAGGAGTGGGCTCGGGGGTCGTGGGTTCCTCAACCTTGGGCGCTTCAGCAGCGGCGGGGGGCTCAGATGCCTCGGGAGCAGCCTCAACTGGGGCCTCCTGAACCTCAGCGCCATTGATCTTGGGAACCGACTGCTCAGCGGGTACTTCCTCGACATTCTGCTCGGCTTGCTCAAGCTTCTGATCAACCTGAGCAGCAGCTGTCTCGTTGTCGACCTGGGTCTCCTCAGCCTGGGGCTCCTCCGCAGCCGGGGCAGGGACAGCCTCAGGCTCAGCCTCAGGCTGGGCGGGCTCTTCAGCAGCAGGCTCTTCAGCTGGAGCGATGGGAGCAGCAGCGGGGGCAGCCTCTTCGGTCTCCAGCTCCTCTTCAACATCAACCAGGTACCGGAAGATGTCGTTGAGGACATAGTATCCATTAGGCTGCTCGGCCAGAACGAAACTCTGCACGAACTTGCGCGAAGGCTCCAATTTGTTGGAGATTTCGCCAATGACGGAGACGAGGATATTGTCGAACGAGGCCTGCGAATCAACGTTCAGAACACGGACTTTGCAGTCTTGGAAGTCCAGCTGCTTGATCTTTTCATTGATAGCCTGGAGATACATCTATCGTCAGCAATTGCTTTTTCCCGATAGCGCTGATGCGATGACTCGCTCAATTGAGGTGCACCTACCTTCTGACCCACTGCAACTGGGACGCTCTCCGCCTCCGTTCCGAAGACAAATTGAGAGCGTTTGGAATAGAAGAACTGGAGCTTCTCCGGACTACGGCTCATGTTGGTATAGTACTGCTCGACAAAGTACCAACCAACCTCATCCTTGGCAATGCCATTCTTCTGCTCGGTCGAGGGCGCGTTCGAGGGAGTAGTAGACTGCGCAGGCTGGAAGCTGGCAGCGCTATTCACATTGGCATGGGTGTGGTTGTAGGAATCGGGGTAAGCATGTTGCGCAGGGTAGCCGTTCAAAGGAGCCTGGGTCGTGTCGGCCATTGTGTGTTGAATCAAAATTTAGGATTGAGAAAATGAAGGTGCGAGACGAGGAGGCGTAAATCGCAAGAGCTCAAGGTATATGGGCGATGAGAACCGAGCTTTATGTGACAGAAAGAAACTAGTGGCGGTGGAGCTCTATCGAGAAGACGCTTTTTCACCCGTCTATGAAGCTCTTTGTTAATAATCACCCGACTTTGGAGATATGTCGTCAGATGAGGGACGACAGGAAAGAAACAGCAGCACATAAAAAAGGAATTCATGAACGTGCAATGTTAAAAACGGGGGAGCTGCTCACTAGGCATGCAACAAGCTAGACAAGAAGGACAGAAAAGGAACAATTATGTTCAAGATGTTAGCGCGTCGAGGTCGTCGAGGTGTGAAATAGAGGAGGAAGTCTTGTGCGATTCGGAATTAGTCAAAGTGCGGTACGAAGGAAAGCCTGAGGAAGAGATGGATAAGAAAGAATATCAGGGCGAGAACGTAGGCGTCAAAAGGCTGCAAGAATTTGAGAAGCAAGAGAGATTTGAGTGAGGAGCAAGCTGTAAGTGGTTGACGGAGATGGTTTGAGGAAGTGGTGAATATAAGAGGTTGGTTGGTAAGTTAGTGGATGGAAAAGGCCTGCTGGGAGCGTCGTCGAACCCAGAAAAGCCCGCTCGGCAGTATGCTCACCGCCTGTCGAATCAAGGCCAGTTGACACCCGAGGCAAGAAATAGTCACGAACGATAACTTTACATCTTCGGATTGGTTTCGGATTAGGGATGATATACTCCGTGGGGTCGGGAATCAGTGGCACTCAGGTCCATCTAAGTATCTCAGGTGTTGCAAGTGCGAATCCCAATGTCGGGAGGAACAATCCTGCGCTCTTGCTACTCACCAAACGTCATGGGCCGTTCAATTGACAGGTAGGATCGTTTGGATTGGAAGGCAAAAACAGAAAAGTTCCATAAGGGAGATGGTATTGCCAGGCGTATCTACGTGTCTTGGCCTCGCTGAGAGCAGCCGTACGACCAATGATAATTGACCACCACTTCGATCCCCATCTTAAAGGCAAGTGCCCGTATGGCAGTGATCTGTTCGCCCGGGTATACACCTGAAGAAACACAAGCACCACGTTTCTAATATAACATCGAGTATTGCAAAGAAACTTTCAACGGGGTCAGATATAACGAACAAGTAGATTCACGGAATATGTAGTGACAGCCACAAGAGGCATTGAAGTTGCAGAAACAGAACAGCTGGCTCGAGGCAGGGGTATGAAAACAGATATTGGACAGGCTTCTCATCCAGAAAGTGATAATTATCAGACGCGTTTCAAAGGATTCCGTCGCAGGAGATACCGATAGGCTGAGGGAAGAAGTGACTTTGAGTCCCAGGGCGCGAGGATTCTGATCACAAAAAAACCATAAGAGTCATGCACGGTAACCAGTCGACATCTCAAAAAAAGGCATTGAGGGATCATATCAAGGGGACGCAGTCGAGTCGACCACGGCCTTCTCATTCAAAGTGGGCTCGCGCATGATGGCATCCTGGCCTGTCATTCTTCGGTCCAGGGCGCGCTCAACTTTCGCTCCTAGCGCCAATTTGCTGAGGTTGTCGCTCTTCTCGGGGGTAGGAACAAAGCGCTGCTTCAGCAGGGGCTTGTTCTCCAATCGCTCCAAACCGTCCCGCAGATGGTGAAAGTCGGCCAGTCGGGGATCTCCACTGGGCAGACTCGAGAGATCCGATGACGCAACCGAGGGACTCCCGCTCACAGTCGAGAATCTCTTCGACGTCCGGTTCTAAAACCCCCGGTCAAAATCCAAGCACCGGTTTCCGGGAGTAACAAGCTTACAGATTGAGCCATGATTGGTCTTTCGGAGTCGAGCGATGTGTGTCTGGCCATAGCTGGATCGAGAGAATCCTTAGGGAACGGGCGGGGAGTTGAAAATTGAGTGTACTTCCGCTGCTGGAAGTTGCGCAATGAGGTTAATGTGACTAGACGTGGGTTGAATTAAACACGATTAGCAATTGATGGGCCCACTGCAGTGATACATAGGGAGGGACATGAGGGTAGAGAATGCTATAATACTAAAGAGGCCAATGCGATCTCTCCTTTCACATGAAGATTAACAAGACACTGGGGATAACATCTAGCACTGGCACCCACGCTAAAAGAAACTCGGACGGACTAGATAGGGCTTGCGCAAGTATGCATACCTCTTAAGGGGTCACAGTCGGAAAGGGGCGACGCGCCACTATTGTCTGTTCTTCCACCGGAGGAATGATGAGGAATAGGGGAATCAGAATTGGACGAAGAGAGAGAGATAGAGTATGTGTGTAAGAAAGCGCGAGAGAGAAGGATGTTATAAAAGAAAAAAGAAGAGAAGGGGGAAAGGGTAAAGTAGAGGTAGTAAGCAGGAAACCGGAGGTAGGCGGCGTAGGTGAGGTGAGGTGTGTACGTGCGCACATGCGTTGAGCGTTTGTTCAAGGATTTGGGGGGTGGATTTGGGGGGAGATGTCAGTGGGTCGACCGCAGGAGGAGCGGTATTTTTTTCGACTCTATGTAATAAAAAGATGGAAATTGAAAAAAAAAAAAACCTTGGAGAAATAGATGTATACTCAAATAAAATGCCAATGGCCACGAATTCTATAAAGGTCGAGAATTCACAAAGGAATTTTAGCTCTAACCATGTCTATCTGAAGTTTCACTTTTTCCCTTCCCTTCTCTTTTCTCTCCTCATACCCTGTTGTCCATGTTGGCACTGCAATTCAATTCATACTCATGCCCCTGGTTAACTTACAACTCAACTTACAAGCGACAACCCGGGGTGGATTTAGGTAGCCATGTCCGGACTCGGGTCTAGCCCAGTCAGTGGTCAACCTTTTTTTATTTGCCCTATGGTAACACACAGCCTTTGCACAGCTGTATTGAACCTTAGCAGTACAGTATATACTCTGGGTTTTCTTTTCTTTTCTTTTTTTTTTCTTCTTTCCTTAAGAACCCGGTTATGCAGCACGCCACACCATGTCAGACTCTCCGTGACGGTCGGCTCGGGTAAGTGATATGAGACATCAGACGGATAGCAGCTTGATCATCAGCCAGGGGTTCTCTGCTGTTTGAACATAACTTAGGTAGACCACTACTGGAGTAAGTTACTCATACTACGGGCTGGAGCGGATTGTCATATCACCGGCCTTTAATCCTAGAGTAGGAACAATTCATGACGATCGGTTTGGTTGAACACTGCGATCACCAGTTGCCCTGGCCTCCCTGATTGCTTCGCACAAAAGGAACCTTGAAGGTAATTGATTTTTGCAAAACACATGGAGGAACAAACTGGATTAGTTGTGCCTGGTTATTCATTGATCGGGGTCGCCTAGAGGGGAAAACAGAGTGCTTTTGTCTCTCTGCGGGCTGGGTGGTTATCGAGATCCACGACGATCTAAGAACAGCGATAAGAGGGAATCAGAGCATGAGGCGGCCCTCCATCAGCACCATAATAGATTAAAGCCAGAACCAGCCCGTTGCCCGCCACGTGCCAGGGATTGCCATATCGCCACGCGAGCTGATCTCATAGCTTGTGACAAAAGGGAAGGAAGGGGTGGGGGGGGGTGAAGGTGGCCTGCACATTGAACTCAATCGGTCTTACCCGAGGGAGGGGGAGAATTCGGCATATTCAAGGTTGCTGGTACTTCTTTGTCTCCTTTCAATCAGATGTTGATTCGTTGACATAGCATGATGAAGCTGAAGTGCTCATTACCTACAGGTAGTTATTGTCAAGCACCTAGAGCGCCCTGTCCTGTAAGTATCAATTACTACGTCAGCTCAATTGCAAGGTCTGCGACCTGATAGTACAACAGATGCATTATCTTCTTATGCTTGACACGCCTGGTGCTTGTGTCAGAGGCTTGTTGAACATTTGCAAGACAACCGGACAACACTTTGTCGGAGAGACATTGTACTTTCTGGACTCAACTCTCGGGTACGACCTGCACAGGAAGATGACATGTGAACTTTGCTGGTTCAATGATTCTTGTCACAATGCATAAGAAGTTGGGTACTGTGCTGTAGTACCCCGTACACCTACTAAACTGCCGATTTACCCAAATGAGGGTTGTTGTTTGGCGATCCCCGCCCGGAGTACGGATAGGAGTTGCAGCGTATTTTACATAGCACAGAGTATGTGTTTAGTAGTCTGGAGAACAGTGGAAGTCCATCTATGATCGGTGGTTATTGTCATTGTCATTTCAAGCATTGAGTGGCACTTAACAAAGAAGGCGGTGTCTCCGAGGTGGCTCCGTCACCTGATGCGGGGAACAAGAAATCAGAAATCTGTCGACGGAAAAGTACGTACTCCGCCGAGGGTTCCACTACGTAAGTCTTCAGCTCTCAAAAGAGACTTCCCATCTAGTAGTCGGCTTTAGCTTATATCATTGCGTCGCGTCTTGTATTATATTGTACATTACACTGAGTCTCATTGGCAAAACTTTACAATAGTAGACTCAACCTGGGAAGTGTCTGACAATATTGTCACAAACAGCCAACCAGAAGAAAATCAAGAAAAGAAAAGCAACAAAAAAAAAAAAAAAAAAGAATGCCGAAGCCAAAGGCCTTCCTCAAGGAAGCGAAAACCAAAAAGAAGGCGGCACAACGAGTATGGATCCAAACCCGGCTGTTTGTTTTCTTGCAATACTAAAGGTTCATCTCAGACTCCCGAAACCTCTGATGAATACCTTGCCCGTATGTCACAAGACTACCTATTCCTATAGACGCCCGCCGTTGCGTGGGTTGGGTGCTAAGGTACGAGGCTAACTGAGCCCCATTAGTCGGTGTCGAACAAGAAGAAGCCGGAGAAAAATGGCGGGCTGGAGACGCTGCCAAGTCGCTGCGCTTCTTCATGCGTGCCATTAATACCTACGATGAAGGCTTGATCAAGCACCCCAGTGCATTTGACTTGGCCTATAACAAGTGAGTCGCAAACCACCCTCAACCTGTCTTGTTGATTCATCGAGTGTTGTGATTGTTTTTTGATTTTGAATGCCTGTCTGACATACAGTAGAGCTCGAGTGCAATATGAAATCACACAGCATCCGAAATTGAAAGCCCAGCTGTCGGCCCCGTTGGGTGATGTCCTGCAAGAGGCACTGGAGTCACATAGAGCGGCGCTTGCTCTAGAGCAAGATAATTCTGACGCACTCTTCAACACAGGCCAGGTACTGACGAGCATCGCTGAGATATTGACCGATTCGAAGCACCCATCCGACGAGCGCCTTTCGCAGGCTGTGAAGCTTCTGCAGGAAGCGATCGAGCTCTTCCAGCGTTGCCTGCTTCTACAGGAGCTGAAGTTTACGGAAATGCAGGAACAAATCAAACAAATGGAATCTGCGGACGCCGGACACCTAGAGGTGGAGACGCAGAACACACAGAGGATCCCCGAGCAATCATCGGAGTCGAAACAAACGGACGAGCAAGAACAATGGGCTGCAATTATAGAACCAGTGACCAATGATACATTGGTGGACACGGCAGTAGCACAACTTGATACATTGACAACTCTCTGCAACCTGCTTACATTCAACCCTGGGGTCGGCCTGGGATGGGTGGAGGAGTATTCATCCGACCTACTGCAGAAGCGCATCTCCGCCTATGTGGAGGGATCGAGCAGACACTATGAGGCAGCTTTGGCCCGAGCCAAATTCACCTGCGGGCTAAGCGAACTGCTCTATAGAAGCGGCCAAATCGAGGCTGAAACGTATTCCAGCGAGGTCTCACAAGCTTTTGGCGCGGGTTTAGATGTCTCTTCCGATCCGGGTGGTCTCTGCAGCAAAGCAGATGCGCTGACGTCGTTCAACACTGCCCTCATCGATCTTCCTCCTTACGAGCCTGAAGCATTCACGAGAGCGTTGTCATTGCGGTGGCAGGCACTTTCTGCGGCACTGGACGCTCTCACCAAAGCATCCAAGCACCCCGATGCAGATGACTTGCCCAAGATCCACCTAGCCAGGGGCGACGTGGAGATAGCTAGATGGAGACTTGGCGTGCCGCCCTGGAACTATGCCATGGCTCAGCAATATGGAGCCACACTGCTGCGCAACGCGCAGACTTACTACCGAGGAGCCGCAGCACTAGCCAGGAGAGACGGAGCCTCAGAGGAGTTGCGGGACGGATCGTGTAAAGAAGCCATTGCAGCGGCTCTGGAAGGACAGAAGCAGAAGCTGGAGGAGCTCAGGAGAGCGGCGCCAAAGGAACTGATGATGGTAGCCGAAGACGTCGTCGATGATGGATGGATGAGCCCTGGTGATATGGAGGTGCTTCTGTCATAGACATCGCGCTATAGCACGAGGCGGATTATACAGCCCGCCGTTTTTCGAATTCCAGAGGTTGCCCGTAATATGATATCGTGTGGGTACGAAGAGTTCAATCATATCTCAGACCGAGCCCTGATTTCCTCATCCATCTCTGCAGCCTCCTGGCGTAGATTGTTATCGCTGCCGAACTGCGTCGCAGCGGCAGCAGCGACCTCCAAGTCCGCAACAACAGACTCCAAGCCTACGAGCAGGTCCTGAATCTCCCTCCTTTGCGCTTGCACCCGTTGCGCCAGCTCCGCGTTCTCATTTTGCACCGATTCGACCTTGTGGTTCAGAGACGACTGCGTTTCGCGCATATATGGTAGGAGATGGGATCGAAACAGTTCATCAGGAGGCAAGGTATGCGGACTATTTGTAGAGGCCCCTCGGTCAGTCCACCAATCGCCGTTACGCACCGAACATCCCCGAAAGAAACCACCAGGAATAACAAAAAGGGCGAAGGCAGAAAATAAGAACTTACGCAACACTCTCCTGCCCAACTCCATGATCCTTCCTATACTTCGCCTCCCCGACCAACCGATCCAGCTCATTCAA